CGGTTAATTTAAAATTTCTGTACGCGTCAATCGCATGTGTATACGTTATGGGTTCTCGATTTTAAATTACCGTTCGAAATTTTCATTTTAGTGAGAAACAAATTACTGACACTCAAACTCGTCTAGTTAAAAATAATTAATAAGTTATTTTTTAATTATTAATTCGTATTAGTTTTACTTGCTTTCGATCAGAAATGTAAAAGATCGCACACTATAAACAATATCATGTACTCCCCTGTGCAGCCTGCGGCGTCCATCTGTGTACCAGCGCGACTCCGATGTACGTCTTACGGTACTTATATGCAGGACTATAATAATATGATTTTGACGATGACGGGTGTATCTCCGTCGAAGAGACCACGACCATGCCGCCAGCTGGGTTCGACGTGCTGAAGAGGTCAAGGTTTTGTTTTCCGTGCGCACATGTGTATCGTGATAATATATATAATATATATAATATACACCCGTTAGCGCGTGCTATCGAAATGACCGAGAGAAACATTTACCGAATGCCTTCAACCACCCAATATCCTTCTTCCCGGTCCACGCCTACAACGTGCACCCTACGCACAGGCACATAAAAGCAGTGCAATGTTAGCGCGTTAGTTATGTATGTCAAATAACAACATAATAATCACTATAACTGGCTGTGACAATTGTACGCGCAGATGTAATACGTGCGATCCGTAATTAAACGCCGTTGCGTAATAATTATACATTCAGAACGTCTGCTACGAACGTACGTACGAAGTGTGTGAAAGGAATTGATTGGTTTGTGTGTATAAAAACCAATGGATAAGCCGTGCGATAATAACTGCTCGAAGGCATTGACGTGGAAATTGTGATTTCGTCTGCAGTTTTTTATGTACAATTCATTATTTCGTGAAAAATCTTTCAAGATAGAGTGATACACTATTCGCGCTAACACGCCGCAAATTTTAAATCGCTAATTAACCCATTAATTTTTAACTTTATATTTTACTTGTTTATTTTATTCTTCCTCCCAAATGTGTGAATTTTAAAATGTTTTTGTACAACGAAGAAAATTTGATTGAAAATGTACGTGCTTATAAATCTATATGAGATGTTCTTTTTTCGGACTATAAATATCAAAACGTTCGGAAAACATAAATTTTACATACATCATTGTGCGCGTTATCCCTCGTGTTGTATATAATATGCACAATATCGTATAATACATATTATCACGGCATGGTATAAGTAACCCTCGTAATAAAACAACTCGTCTTCCATATTCGATACCTCACCCCGAGACCGCTTTCGACGACGTTTTCAGTTTACTCGGTTGTGTATAACGATTATTAACATTTAGTATGATATATTATACTGCTTTTATATACTTAGGCACTGTACTGCCGCATTATGTGATCCTGTTAACCAATGTTTTTTTGTTTTTTTTTTTACATTTTCATTTTAGTTTTAAATTGATCGATGCAATGCGTGTACATTCTCACCGCTTTTCCGCCGGTTAAAGCTGTTTTATTACTATTATTGCGTGCATATTAATTTAGCAAAAATAATACGTTCCTTTTCCACGAACCTTATACCGCACCTTTACTTACCGGTTACACTCTCACCTGTATTTTTGGTTGAAAAGCGATTCAATTGCGTGTTATAATATTTTTTTCTCGTATTCGATACGTAGATATAAACTTAAAATTTAAAATTCGTTTTACACCTATTATCGTCTAAAATGATTTTGCATTAATTTATATTTTCATTATTAAACTCTACCAACCTGTAAAAATAATTACAATTTTTTGTACGTTGAGATCAAAGTTCAAAAAATATTTTTACTTATAGTTTATTTACCAAATATATTATTATTTATTCTATGAATTCATAATAGCTAACCGACGCAATCCCCGTCGGTAATATTATTGTGTTCCATTCACGTAACTTTGTACATGTTTTTTTTTCTTTATACTTGTCCAATAATTTTTATTTTTATCACACATAAAATATGGTTGAATTTTTTCCTCAATTCGACGATGAAGCATATTTTATATATATATTAAACATATCAATAATTGTTTGGCTAGTTTCAATTACATTTTAAAAATACCAACTAAAATATAGTAATATAATTCTAGGTTCAGATTATGTTGATACCTATTCAATAATGTTAGAAATAGTTTAAGTGCTGTAGCAAATACCTAATATATTAGTCAGGAGATATGTGTAACTTTTATGATTTTTCTATATAGCATCGACCGATTGTTGAATTTTCTGAAAAAGTTTTTCGTATACCTATATTTATTGATTTTGTTTTTTTGTTTGAAAGTTCTAGCATTACACGTTATACGGTGTTTATGTAACAATTTTTAATTAGCCGACGTGATGTGTGTAGACAATAAAACAATATAAATGCAATAAACCTAAACAAACAAACTACGCCTGTTTTAAAAAAAAGATAACAGATTTCATAATCGAACAATGTTACAAGGACGTACTTAAAAAACTACAAAAAATGTCACATATAAATTATTCAATCTAAATAGGTTTTTTTTTATCAAATAATTATTTTTAAATAACTGCTCGTATGTGTAATTTGTTCTGACACAGTTTTACTAATTTTAAATATTACGGTAATTGCAAGTTTAATTTTTTCATTTGGATGAGGTTGGATCAAATTAAACATCAAGTTGAAATCTGTGTTTAGGAATCGAAGAGCGAACATTATACTCATAATATTACATTATTATATTATTTTCTAAACTATTGTTATGGATAATTATGGTTTACGTACATTTTGTATTTTTGTCCGCTATTTTATCATAAAGCATAGATTGTTTGTATTCACACATTGATTCATTAAAGGAATTCGATGGGCTGGGTCCGGATTTCCGGCTGTTTTGTTTTAAAGTGATTCGACGTTGCTAGTTTTACGTGTATGCTATACGAATAAAACAATAAAATATCATACAAAAACATATATGTTTTACTCGAATGATGTAATAAAACGATTGAATGCAATAATAACTTCGACGAGATTTGAAAATAATTGAATATGGTCTAATTCTTACGCATTTCGTTTTTAATAGTATATATATTTATTCCATCTATTATATTTTCACCTTTGCGACATTTGAGACGCAATTGAATTCACATGCCTATTTTGTACAAAAACATATATATTTGAACTCGTGCAATACCATCCTGGCTTGACACATGATTTGTTTGTATGGATTTTTGCAGACATATTTTTTTTTATCATTTTACTACAGTAGTGTAACATTTTAAAATGTTCAAATACCATACATAATGATAGTGTATCTTATACCGACTATAAGTGAAAGTAGAGTTTTAATAATGTATATGAAGTGAGTGTTAAGATGAATAAATCCCAAACACCTATACGTCGACATTAAAAATAAAATTTTTATTTAAATTTAAAGATTGCTAAGAGGCCTTGTTGGGCGAGGAATCTTTCGAATGGAGATGTAGTCAATCGATTTTTGTGTTTCCATTTGGGTGAATGCTGTGCTGCTAAGACGTATAAAGAATTTCTTGATACTGATTACCCACCCAGTTCGATGTTCTGAAGAAACTAGTGTTTTGCAATGAACAATGAAACTATTTGCGTATTATCGTGTACGTTTCTGTGACACTCGTGTCGCGTAATTCTGTTTCCGAATACTTACGAGTAGTAAGTAGTAGTTACGTAGTTAAGCTCAGTATCTGCGTAAAACACAATATGTTCTCAAGGGGAACAGAAAAGATGACGACGATTAAAGAAACATTAGGTATCGAGTAATATTGAATTAGATACGCTATTAATTATAAGCATAACGAATGTAATATATATGTATCCGGATACAACTGAGTTACGAGCGTTCGACAGGATATTATATAACAGAGATGTGCAACTTAAAATTACTAGAGAGCTAACTTTTAGAAAATTAAAATCCAGCGGGCCAAAGCGTAGGAAAAAAAAAGATCATTCAAAATATAAATTTTAATTATCATTTATAAATACCGAAATAATAAATTCAACACACACGACAGCACGACACGAATGATACGAAGAAACTGATATAGTTAAATAGTTCGGTACAAACAGCTATGGTTGAAATTTTTAAGTATACATATTATATATGACATTTAGACGTTTAACGATGTTTAATACCAGATTAAATTTATTACCTATATCGATAGACGATAAACTTTAAATGATATGATGTGATTTGAAAATATAGTACGGGCCAGATAAAAAAACTCGCGGACCGCTAGTTGCCCACCCCCGTTATATATCATCAATACGCAATATGTCATACCCATTTTGTTGTGTGTATTCGAAATCGATTAACAGTCTCCGAACTCTTGTCCAATTATTCGAACCATAAACGTTGACAACTATGTCAACGTCCTGTGACATTCCCTATAAATTGAAATTCAAACGATGGCAGGTTTGGTTTTGCATTGCAGTGTTTGCCTGTATTGTAATAGGAGGCGGTGATTTTGTTTTACCGAGATTCGCGTGTGTCCTATTACTCGCTCGTAAAGCGCTTAAAAAAATGTCCAAAACACAAAGTAGTTAATTTCAATTCGACCACAATCGGTCAATTGTGTTGGTCGTGATTTTCCCCTCCGTCCTTTGTGGCAGCAACGAATTGTCAATATTTTTTACTAGTCCTTTGACTGTACATCATTGTTTATGTTACGCTCGAATAACGTATCACGATTTTTAACTCCAAGTCATAAATACGACCGCCACCGTTACCCTCTCTCTCGCGTACTCGATGGTATAATAGCTTTTCGTTCGCACACGTTCGCTTACATAGTTCTAACGACGTATATTGATATTGGAGAGGAAAAAAAAAGTTGATTTTCCGAAAAATGCTTCCGTTATTCGTTGTAATCGAGTGCCCGGTGATTTCGCGCGTCATAGCGTTATCCATCACTCGTTGTCGACCTTGTATTTTATAATATTGTTGTCTAGAATATCATTATTGTTTTTTTTTTTCCTTCCTTTGCAGCAACTATTGGACCGTTCGCGGTGGGCACTGTGCTGGCGTGGACGTCACCGGTTCTGCCCATGTTGGAGGGCGAGAACTCGAGAATTCCTATCACGGCGGACGAGGGATCGTGGGTGGGCTCGTTGATCGCGATCGGCGCCATCATCGGATCGATACCTGCCGGCAAGGGTGCGGACATATTCGGCCGGAAACCCACCATCGCCGCGTTAGCCGTACCGTTCATCATCAGCTGGGCGATGATCTACTTCGCCTCGACCGTCTGGGAACTGTACATCGCACGTCTGATAGCCGGCGCTGTCATTGGCGGAGTCACTGCCACCGTTCCTATGTACATCGGAGAGATAGCTGAAAGTTCCATCAGAGGTGAGTTTTATTTTGTATTATTATCGATGGCGCACAAGTGTGATAAGTGACATTTTTTTTTTCGAAAAATGAGTTAAGTGCATATTAAATTTAATCATAAAATTCTGCACGTTATGCACAAACGAAATTATAACATTATTCGAGTAATTGTTGTTCTTTATTGAAATCAGAAGGAAAATGTGATGTGTTTAAGTATTACTTTTTTTACGTGTACAAAATGTGCTAAGTACAATCATTTTTTTTTTTCATTTTTTTTAACAATACAAATGTGGTAATTGCAGATTTTTTAATTCTCATTACTCATCACATGTCAAGGAAAATATAATAAAAAGTTCATTACAGTTCGTTACATTCTTGAATTATTATAACTGATCAAACTAAAAAAAATCGTTTTCCTGAAAAATTACGAAAACGTCACTTATCACACTTGTGCGCTATGCCATCATTATCAATATTACGACTCAATGAAAATAATTTCTAACTTCAGACGTGTTAAAAACTATTACATCGTTGTATAGTAATATAAATTCGCGTCAAAACAACACTGCACTAAAATTTAATTGTGTTGCAGTTACTGCCGGTAATTACCGTATAATCACGTAGGAAAAAACTCTGGATCATTAGAGCTATTATAATAATTATTATTATTTTGTTCATTGTTCGACGTGCAAATAAAATGCGATCGAATACAATGTTCATATAGTACCTAACTCGTCGACACTTTTTAGTGATTTGCCACTGGTATTTCATTTAACCATTACGGTGTGTAATATAATATAATTTATCATAATTTAATAATAATAATAATAATAATATTCTGTCTTTCTCTTTTGAAAACTGTTCTCTAATGATATTTGGATAATTTTCTCGTGAATTCGATTTATCTCACGTAAGTCTTACACGTATTAAAACTGCACACGCCTTGTCATGTTTTGCGTACCGTCTAATTATATTATAACATTAATTATAAGCTGTACTTGTCATAGAGATTTTTTTTGTTTTTTTTTTTTCTTATACATTCGTTGTTCGACAGTATTCATAAACTCGCTATACGTTACTGAATCGTACACGTAGCGAAATATAATCCTTCGAAAGTGTTGTTATTAATATAAGTACGGGTTATCCGTTAGTTATTACTTTTTGTTCCATTCGAGTCATTCGTTGACATGATTTGAAAACTATTTTCCAAACGGGAGTGACGATCTTGTGTATAAATACTGTATAATATTTTGCGAAAAATAAAATTACAGTATATATGAGGGAAATTATGACTTTTAAAGTAATGTATGTATTATATCCGAATGCATTATACACGTTATACATAACTTAACTTTATATATAATTCGAATCGATACACTCGTACCAAATTACATTAAAAATGTTAAAAACTTTGTCACTGTTAATTAAATAAAAACGTTTTTGGTGTTATTACGTGCGTCTCTATGCGACTTTATGCAACTACCTAAATTATACTTCTGAAAGCCGTACGATATGTTAACACGCACGTCTAAATGTTTCCAGGTGAACTCGGCTCTTACATCCAGGTGAAGGTGACTCTGGGAATACTGTACGTGTACGCCATAGGACCGTTCGTGTCCTACGAAGGGCTGGCCATCCTGTGTGGTATTATACCAGTGATAATGTTCGTCTTGGTGATACTGATCGCACCCGAGACGCCCACGTACCTGCTGAGGACGGGAAAAAGGAAAGAGGCGGAACGGTCGTTGGTGCTGTTGCGTGGTCATGAGTACGATATCGCCGGTGAACTGGAAGAATTGCAGCAACAACTCGAGGAGGAACAAAAGCGCAGCAGCAACTTCAAGGATCTAATATCGTCCAGAGCTACTATCCGCGCGTCCATCGCTGTCATGGGACTCTTGAGTTTCCTGTCTTTCTCGGGCATCAACGTGCTCATTTTTTACGCGGAGTCCATATTCAAAAGCAGTACCAGCAGCATTTCTCCTCAAGTCAGCTCCATCATCATAGGGATTCTTCAAGTGAGTTGAATTACAATATTTCCTCGATAATTGGAAATCATGACGTATAGGTATTGTGACCAAACATATTAAGTATCAGGTACACCAGGGGCGGATACACTCAGGTTATTTCAAGAAGCCACTTATTAGGACTGAAGCTAGATTATAAATGTATACCACATAACATAAATAAAATTGAATATACTAATATTTATTTTATTTTTTGGAGAATTAGGTTTTACATGGGACTCTGTATAGAGATATTTACTGTATTATACTAGTAGTAAGCCATGGTCGTAATTTGGAAAGTAGCAACTGGGCATTAGATCCAGTCTAGTATTGACTTTAACCTAGGTTGGCATACTTAAATAATATATGAAGTCTTCGTGAGATGTATCATAATTTTGTCAACAAATATTAACTTTAGGTCAGTTGATTTCATAATCTCCTAGATTCGTCCCTGAGATACACTTACATTTTACATTATACACATATATTTTACATTATTGTATGTGATTGGAATCAAAATATTCTTATCCAGTAGAATATTTTAGTAGTTTATTTTTTTTTAAGTTAATTATGGTTGCTGTAGTGTCATTACAACATTATTAAACATAAATTACTAACATTATATTTTTCGTGGTAAAATTTGGTCCAATTGAAAATAATAAATTCAATAGTTCAATTAAAATTTGAGTGGTATATGATCAATTTTATCTGTCATTTGAATTCAATATTTACGTATAGTTTTATTATCCAAAGTATATTTTATTTTTACGGTGAAACACGTAAACTAATTACAGAATGGAGAAAAACGCGTTCATTTTTGACAACTAATCTATATTGTAAGATAGGTAAGATAAATGCTATTTGATTGCTATTTATCAATTTTTGACGTTTTCTTTCCTCCGATGAAAATGTTTTTCTTTCTCTATAATAAGGATTCAGTACAGAACGTTGTATCATAGTACTGATTTTTTCTCATTTTCACTCTAGTTAAAATTACTTAGATCGTTTAATAAACATATTGTAATTAATTGAAAACTAATTAAAAGATTATACATATATGCATTATTTTAGAAGAGAAATGTTTGTATTAATTTAATATTATTAATATAAAATTTTCTATCTCCTAAATTAATTGTTTCTCTCTAAAAGTTTTTGGTATTTTTTCTTTTTCAAATACTATAAAATATTGTAACCTTCTATAGTTATTGTATTTATTAATTTAAATTATAAATTTCCATCTAAAGAACAATGAATTCAATACCATAAATATTATAAAAAAAAAAAATTAGTTCAAAAATTACAAAATATAAAAACGGTTGGTGAGTAAATCGAGTTATGAATTTTTCATAATGTAATGTGATATAATTAGTTTTTAATTATTGATCACCGATTTCATAACGTTTTATTTATTAAACGACCGAACTGAATTATTAAGTGTACTTACAATTACTATATTATTGTAAATGCGTTTTGTGTTGTAAAAATATTTGGTCACGTCCTTTTGAGTGCAGTAACTTTGTTCTCGTGTGTTACCGATATATATATATATATATGATACGATCGTAACCCTAGTAAATCCCATTCTAGACTCAATGTCTGATTTAAATTACAACATTAAACTTTAAAATTGTTTCTTTCTCTCTGCCCGTAGGTGAAATTTACTTTCGCGTCTGCGTTACTGGTAGACAAGGCTGGACGGCGTGTGTTACTCCTGATCTCCGACTCTGTGATGGCCGTTTGTCTTGGCTGTTTGGGTTACTTCTTCTGGCTGAAAGAGCACAACGTTGACGTGTCCGCCTTCAGTCTGATACCGCTCATCAGTCTGGGAGTGTACATCAGTACGTTCTCACTGGGCTTCGGGCCCATACCTGGTGTCATGATGGGAGAACTTTTCAGTCCGGACGTAAAGGGGCTGGCGTTAGGTGTAGTATGCGTAATCGCGTCGCTGTTGGAGTTTGTCGTGGTCAAAATGTATCAGAATCTTTTGGACTGGTTCAATCACGGCGTGACATTCTGGATATTCGCTGGCTTTTGCATACTGGGCACGGTGTTCGTGTGGTTCTTGGTGCCGGAGACGAAGAATAAGTCGTTGCAGGAAATCCAAAACGAACTGAATGGCATAAAGAAGCCGAAAAACCGCAACACAAACCGCTCCCAACAAATGGAAACATTGACTGGACCTTACAATCAGAAGAACGCAGCAATCGTTTGATAAGGCAATATAATAAATGTAGCAGTGTGTGTGTATGTTAGACAAACGAGGTGGGGCCTTAAAAACATTTTACATTTTTTAGCCCCAGAATTTGAACAAAATAGGTAATCAAATGCATTGAAAATTAAACTTATTGAATTGTTTAAAACTCATAATTTATTTTTGTTTTTTATATTTTCGGATAAATAATGACTCATTTCACCAAAATCTACACGTTAATAATATAATTTTACTTAGGTATATTGTTTTCTTTTCTTTTCATAACTAATTTATTTTATCATACAACTAACACCGTCTATTGCATTCCATGGTTGACTTTAACGAGAGCAGCATCTTCAAATAGGTATCTTATTGTTATTTTCAGTCTCGAATATATGAAAAAACGAAAATGCAGTTTATATTTTTTTAAATTTTTTTTAAGTTCAAACCTAATATTATACTTGATGGTGCTTGGCCTTAAGCCATATATTAGTAACTGTCATTAAAATAAACTATTATTATTAGTAGGTATGTAGAAATATTACTCTGAAACCAAAATGTTTTCGTTCGACTACAAAAAAATAAATAAAAAAAACACAAATTTCCGCTGGAATTTCCGTGATCGATCAGAGAAAAATGGTTTTAGTAGAATCTCACGACGCGCGTGACAATAACTTAAAATTGAAATATTTTAGGTTCTTAAGTTTTAAATGAATTATTTACAAATGTATTATTTTATTTTTTTTAAACCTATTTTGCAAACCACCCCGCAGGATACCATTACTCTTTACTTTTAGAGTACAAAAAATACCTATTCAAACATTGTGCTATATTAATTTAATATGATATTTTTATAATAATAATAATAATAATAACAATAAAGGTATATATATATTTTTTTTAACATTAAATGATATGTGATTTGTATTGATAGATTATATAAATATTAAAATCGATTAATTGTTAATCGATCTTTGTGTCTAAAATCGTTAACTAAATTTAGTTAGATTGCTCAAACACAAATATTATATATTGTATATATTTATTTTTGTTTCCGTGTACATATATATATAATCTTTTTGTTTCATTATGTTACATTACAATGTCAATTCGAAACACGTAATAGTTATATATCATTGTTGGACACGATCAAATTTTATATTTATATTTTTTACGTCACGTATTTAAATCAAAACCAAATCACCTGTCCATTATTTATGTGCATTGAAAGTTTATCGATATTATACATTTAATCCGTACACAAACCCGTTGATTCCGCAGTTCTAGTTCACGCGGTCTTCCTACGATTATTGTACATTATTATTATTATTGTTATTATTATTATTATCGTCTATTATTCTCCGACTAACATAATAACACAACGCGTCACGTTTACAGTAGATCACCGTCGTAATTATTTATAATTGTTATAATGCGTTTTTAAAACTCTTACGTAACTCTTTCGAATAAACGCGCATAACGCTGCGACCGTTCATGTTAATTACATTTAATTTTTTTTTTTCCAAAAACGACCACGATGTTATAATGCATGCTCAAGTTGCACGCGTACCATTCAATATATTACTATTGTTATACAGTAGTCTCATTTAACTGACGTGTAACAGCCAATTATTTTTTCTGTTAGTATTAAAATAATCGGTCGATTATCATTTATACCGTGTAATATGTTTAGTCGTTAAGGTATTTTATCATTTGTAAATATTTAGCTTTTAGTATATATTTTATGGATGAATTATCGAAACGAAACGTAGCGTATTAGTCTTAAGTAGAAAACCAATTACCGACATTTACTAGCGTATAATATCCCTGCAGCCAAGACATCTATATGTAAATTATTATAATATTTCAATTATAGTAATTATATTATTAAAATATTTTTTTGATAAAAAAAAAAAAACTAAACCGTCGTCTATTTTTCGTCGTCTTACGAATTCCCGACGTCCACCGCGGAATGACAATGACGCGTCCATCTTGTGTGTTTTTTTTTTTGTAACATTATTTGACAGTAGTATTCAATGGAAAAACACGTGCACGCAGTGGCGCGCCATTTTATAGATCGTGTTTGTGTGTATGTACTGAACTAGTGCACTACTATTTGGTATTTAAATATTTTAAAACTTTGGGATACTAACTAATATTATAACAAACAAAACGTTGACGAATAACGGATGTTTGTTATTGGTAAATACATAACAGTATTACTTCTACCATGATTACTACTATCTTTTTGGTAGTTATTGTGAGCGTTGTAGTGACTCTCGTCTAACATTTACATTTTATAATCATTTAAGTTTTTGAATCATGTTACGTCGTAGCAATGCTACCGCAGCTGACCACCGTTAATTCATTATTATATTTTAATAAATATTATTAAAACTATTTTAAAATGCTGGAAATACATATTTAAATTTGGTGGTAGGGAGGGGTTACGAGTGAACTGTCAAAGCTTACCTAACCTGTCCAAAATGTTTTTAGCCTCTCTCATATAAAAATCTTGGCTACGCTACTGCGTTCACGTATAACCGTATATAATAATATGTTATGAATGACATATAGAAACATGAAACCATCGAGCTGTAAAAAATCGGACACGGAAAAAATATAAAACATATAAAAAAGTGAAAAAAAAAATTTAAAAACGCAAATAACCCAGGTCTTTCACGAAGACCGGTCAAGTCCCCATACAACTCCTTAATCATCTTCTTAGACCAGAAATTCGCCATGTCAATGTTCGTAACGACTTTAGAGTAAGTGTTCAAGACTCTCAACTCTAAACGGATCGGGTTGCGTGTCATGTAATAATAGTTCATTTTCGCAATGAACTTCACGCCTTTATCATGCATGGTGGGGTACACCGACAGCAAGCATACGTTACGGCTGACTTTGTACTTTGACGACATCATCCGTCATCGTACTGAGCTGCGTAAGTCCCGTGTCACCGGCCGTTATCTGACCGAGAGTTGAAGTCTCTTCATCAACTGCGTGATCTCTATTATCTGCGCAATGTCAATCATCTGCGTCGGGACAGAAATATATTTTATCAAATAAAACGCCTACCTATAACTGTGTTAAATTAGTTATAAAAAATTATTATTGTATCGCAAATAACGCCTGTTCGGAGCTCGCAAAATCTTATCCTTATATTTATAAAAGAACAAGCCTTTGTTATATTCTAATTTTGTGGTTACGCTATTAAACTTTTTTTTAATTTTTGTTCACAGAATTGTTCCAAATACCTTCCTCCTAAGTGTCATCACGTCGCCCGATTTTTCATTTTTTTTTGTTGGAGGGGAGGAAGAGGGATTGGAAAAATGTTAAATAATATCGTCATAAAATTGTAACACAAAAAAAAGCCTGTTTTTTTATATACTCAGGGACAAGGGTTATAGAATCATTTTAAATAATAATTTGTGTATAAAATCATTAGAATCATTTGTAAATATTTTTATTATGATTCTTTTTTTTTATTATTATTATTTAGAATTACTACAGTTACTGCTACTATTTAACACTTGATTAAATTAAGTAAAATACATTTTTTCTTCTTTAAAACTCAACAATGTGTGTTGATTTGAGCATTTCATTTAGAAAAAACAAAAACTACACACGGGCGAAACCTAGTAATTCAGATAGTAATATTATATTACCTTTATAATAGTAATGTATTCAGAACTATGCGCGATGTACTCCGTTGTAGCAAAAACAACGGGTATTGCGGATTCAAAATGTCTTTTAGGAAGACTGTATGGGAGTAACACCAATATTTTTAATATCGAAAAGTTTTTATTTTGCACACGTTAGTTATAAAATTGGAAAAAAAAATGTTAAATTAATAGATAAATAAATATATAAAAATAACAATGATTAATATAATCTCGGATCGCTTAATTTTTCAGCAATTGCACGTTAAGTGTCTGGAGGAAAATACTTCATCTTGTCCGAAATCGCAATTTTTCTTTTAAGAGAAAGATTTTTTCGATACATAGTCGAAAACTTTCCCGATCGCGTTGAAATTCACGGTAAAACTGTATGATTGTTGTCGAATAAAGGAAAGAAAGATAAAAGTTTATCACTTTATTTTTTATTTTATTTTTTTTGTATTGATCTCGATAACACTCAATTAAACTCACAACAAAACCCCAATAATATTTAAAAGTTAACGATTGTTATTACTTTTGATAAACACTATTTCATAAGTACGACGAAACCCAATTGTATTATTTCGCTGTGACGGCAATACGTTATCTCATAAGGGTTTAATTCGTTTATTTTTAGTAATATAATTTTGTAGTGTAGGTACCAAAAGTATACAAAATGCTGAAATGAATACAATAATTTGATTTATTTATACAGGTAGGTAGGTATTATACAGTTTTTTTTAAAATTATTAAATAAAAATAATATAGTATTTAAGAATGTAGGTACTTAATTTTAACCTCTCAATACTTTTTAGAGAACTAAAAGTCTAAAACATAAAGCAATTGGTTTTAATTTAAAAATAACATATTTATGACGAAAATATTTTATAATATGTTCTTGAGAATTGTTCATTTGTGATTTGTATCTATTTGAATATAATAATTCATTAGTATTTATTAATTATTATTATTATTATTATTATTACAATATGCCCGTATGCCTCAGTATGGTATAATATATCTTTATATATACGATACACCTATATTTTACAATATAATATATACAGAGGGTGGACAAAATAATATGAACACCTGGCATATACCTACGCATTTTTTTTAATTTATATTTACATATTTATAAGGCGTTGGGTCACCGTTATGCCAACAGTTTCAATCCTTCGCGGAATAGAATCGCAAAGGATCTGAATAATTTTCAACGGAATTTTATCCCATTCTACCAAAATATCCACCAATTGCTTCAGTGATGTTGAAGTTATAGTATAAACAACATACAACGATATGTAACTATATTGCATGGTGTTTATATTATTTTGTCCACCCCCTGTACCTATTGGCTATATGGCTATTGATATATGTATTTAATCAAGTTATTTCTATTGAAGAATTCTGGTTAAATTTAACTATATTTATAATTTCCTATTCTAGTAAATGGCTATGTAATATGCATCATCAATAATAATTTTATTAAATTTTTTTAATTTATTATTTATAAATTAACTTAACTTGAATTTAATTAAAAGTAACTCGTTATTTACTAAGTTTATATCAATTAAAATAAGTTAAGTTAAAAAGTTTAAATTTGCTTAACTTAACTTTAACTTTTTAACTTGTTTATGCTGAGGCCGATTATACATATATGTATGCAATTATAATATTTTCGTTATATTATATAAGCTTTTATCAAAACAATTATCGTTCGTTTGAACTGTTTTTAAAATTTTCTTGATTAGCGTTCTCATTGTTCACTAATTTTTTTTTTTAAAAATATACTCGACTCTAGTGTTTTAAATAAAAATTTATCAAGTCACATTTCCGTGACTGACGTATTATTGGTTCGCAAGCGTGTGCCATTGACAAGGTTTTCAGAAGCGCGTGCATGAAGTTCCATGACTATATACAATGTTTATTTACATGAAAATGAAAATCATTCGTTTACCG